GCGCAGCCCCACGGCCCCGCCGCCCACCCGGGGCTCCGCGCTGAGCCCGGGCACCACGGCACGCGGAGATGAGGGCCTTGGGGACAGGGATGAGCAGGCACCGGTGGGGATGCGTTTACAGATGGACTTGCTGATCGGGAAGGTCTTTTCCAACCATGATGATGCTGTGATTTCCCCCAGCTTGGCTGTTGGAGCAAAGGGCTGCACAGCGATGCCAGCGGGTGCAGAGCGGCGCCGGGGGCCCCTTGGGCGTCTCTTCGCCGCCTTCGCCCCATGGTGTAAGGGGCTGCATCACGGTTACGGGTCTTGATTCACGGGGAAGGTTTGCAAATCAGCCAACATTTCAGCAAGGGCCCTGCCTTGCCCTCACAATAAGCCTGTTTCCCAGTGAGTTGGAGCAAAAGATGGAGCCGAACTGCCATGTCCAGATGAGGGTACCAGCCCGTGTGACTGGGTGGTCCCCTCCAGGCCCTGTTCAAAAGAATAAAACACCTGGATAGAAAAGATTCCCCACCTCACGTACCACCAGCGCTCACCAGGGCCCTGCAGTCACTCCCAGGGTGGCTCATCCATAACGCGATGGAGAAACACGGCCAGGAGATCAGCTAATGCTTCCCTGCCCCAGGAGCACTGCCTCCTGCCACGGCACCTCCCGCTCCTTCAGGAAAGCCAAGGGATCCAACTAGATTCTTTCCCAGAGAATTTGAAGAGAGCAAATCTCCCGCAATGCGCAGCTGTTTGGGTTATTTCTGCACACCCACAGGGAGCCAGGCCCACAGAGCCAGGGCCTGAAGGCGCTTGCCAAGAGGCACCCAATTTGGCTGCTTTTTTGCAGCGCATGGAAGCGTCAAAATGAAGCGGATTGGGGAAGGCGAATGTGCCCTATAGTGTCTAAAATGGGACGTGTCTGGTCCTGCCCCAACTGAGAGGCCTCAGAAGGGTGAGGTGCTGCTCTGCATCTCTCCCTGGGAAACGTTAAAAACAGGAAACTTTAAAAACGCTCTTAAATGGGAAGAGGTTGGAAAACGCCGCCCCGGGGAGGGGGGAAGAGGGGGGCGGGTTTGGGGGGCAGAGGCGGCCATTTCCTGAGGCGGCCGCGGGGCCGGGGCGGGGGCCGG